TTCTTTTCTCTTTTTTTCTTTTCTCTTTTTTTCTTTTCTCTTTTTTTCTTTTCTCTTTTTTTCTTTTCTCTTTTTTTCTTTTCTCTTTTTTTCTTAAATGGTAGTTATATTATTTAACATCTTGGTAACATCTTTATCATCATTTACTATCTTGTCTAATTATAACTTACTACACAATAAATAAGAAACCTGCTCTCTTTATTCACAGTCCTGATGGAGGTATGAGAATCATTCGATATTATGATGGTATATCTCGGCAATGAGGGTGGAAAAAACCCAAGTAAGCAAGGTAAAAAAAAAATAGAAATTGAAGAATTAGGAGAGCACGGCGATATAAGTCAATTGAGTTTGAAAAGAGTAGAGAAATGTAAATTTGAATAGACGTAGAATAATAATTAAAAGATGGCAGAGGTGATGATATGGAGGACCAAGAGCATAATGAACGATGATGGAGGACGAATATAATAATGGAGGACAGAGATGACGATGACAGACGATGCCGAAGATGATAGTAAAGGATAAAAACCATAATAGAGATGGTAAAAGATTATAAGGATAGAAAACACTGTTAACTATTCTTGAGAGAAGATATAAAAATATGAAAAAAAAATATTCTTGTCCCCGGTCGGATTCGAACCGACGTCTTTCGCTTGCTTTAGATCAAATTCGCTGGATAAATATACACGCTGAGAAATAAAGACAACACAAACGCTGACCACTACGCTACGGGGATTGTGAATTGGTTGTATTGGTTGTGAAAACCAGAGTCGGAAATCTGGAATAAATAGTCCTGACTGAGAAATTCTGGTTGTGGTGGATTATGTGGCTTGCTTAGGGCCCCATCGCGAGTCGAAAAGCATCACTCAGACCAAAACTCTCTCGTCAGTCACGAACTTTATTATAAAAAGAAAAAAGGAAGCAAGGAACTTTTCTAAGGCCCGGTAAGGAACCACCGATAAACAAAATCCAAAATCCAAAAGTCATCTATCTGCCTATAGTTTCATCAGAGACAATGACGATGATGGGAGGAAAATATAGATTTTGATAGACGATATACTGAAGATAATGATAGAAGACGGAAACAGAACAAAAGATACCTATAAATAGTCAAGGATGATAAAGATGTTACTAAGATGTTTAACAACAAACGGTTCAATAATAATAATAATAATAATAATAAAGAGAGAAAAAAGAAAAATTAGATAAAATAACAAAACAAAAATATTATTGTCCCCGGTCGGATTCGAACCGACGTCTTTCGATGCCTTAAATTCAAATTCGCTGGGTAAATATATAAACGCTTAGAAGATAAAGAGAAGATAAAGCATACAAACGCTGACCACTGCGCTACGGGGACTGTAGATTTGGTTGAATTTACAAAGCCAGAATTTAAAAATAAATAGTCCTGGGTGCCCGTGTCTGGGTGAGTCACTGAAAAAGGTTGAGAAGAAAGTTCTGGTTGTGGTGGGTTGTGTGGCTTGCTTACATGTAGTTGGAGGTGGGAATGGATGTAAGCCGTGGGTGGCATGGGGAAAAGGGGGTGATTAATCAAAGAAGAAGATGATGATAGAAGACGAAAGGTTGATAATCGATTACAAATATGTATGTACTGTCCGTATTAAATAGTAGTAGTGAGAGGTAAGATAGACTTACCGAACAATTTTAGTTAAAACAGACGGGACTTGATTTAATTATCAAACTGGCCATTTTGGAACGGAACATGCCTCTCAAACAAAAGTACTGATTTATCACTTGTTTTCTAGCAGAACTTCCAGTAAATACGTTCCGAATCACCACACACGCAAGGAACAGAAAAAGAGAAATAAACCCCAAGAACCTCTGCTCTGGTTGTTGAAAGGTATGGATATACACGCCATTATAAGTCTAAATGTATTCATCCAAGTAAGAGGCCGTTTATTATAGCTGGGCGGAACTGAACACTCAATATCTCATAACTGAGATGGGTACTACTCATCGAGCAAGAAAACAGCAGCTAATATAGACATAATTCCAGTTGGGACAAGAACGACCACCTCTCTCATACACATTTCACAACAAATATATATAAAGAAGAAACAACAAGTATTATTGTTTGAGAGCGTCAATTCACACTATGGTCGATGACCTCTCGCACTATGGGTACTTCGAAGAAACGGTTCTTATCGGTACTGCCACTCAAAACCATACTTGTGTCTGATTATAAACATGGCTTTTTGAAATGGAATACGGTTTATTAAAATAAAATATCCCTTTTTAAAAATAAAATATACGTTTTTAAAATAAAACACCCCTTTTCGAAGTAGAATATACCTTTTTGAGATGGAATATGCCTTTTTAAAATAAAAAATGCCCGTTTAATTTAAAATAGGCATAATTTATAACTAAAAGCATTTTTCATTATAAAAAGGTCTATTGATAATTAAAGAGGCAAAGCCTTTTATCAAAACGTAGCTCAAGATCAACTTTATAGGAATTATATTGTGGGAGGTCACCAATCATAGTGTGAATTGACGCCCTCTATTGTTTTCCCTCTTGCTCGCTCTGTTACTACTCAAAAAAAAAAGGCCAGCAATTCAGAGAGACACAAAAAACGAGATCCGCTTAGTATCACGCTCCTCCTTTTTTCACTCAACTTAACTTACAAAACTGCAAATCACGTGAAAAAAAACCTGCATCAATACATGAAAAGAAGGACAAGAACCAAAAAACCCAAACCCAAACCCAGCCGCTCTTCCCCATTTGCTCATATCCCCTCATCCCAAACACCGACTGAATCCCATCTAATCCTCCTTATACCTTCCTGCCCTCCCCAAAAACCCTCCGAGTCCCAAAATTCATCAAAGAATAACTCACCAAGAAGGAAAAGCAAAAATCCCTTCTGTTTCGTAATCGTAATCACTCCATTTAAAAAAGGAAAAAGAAAAATCTCAAAAATCCATTTCTTCCCCTCATTTCGCTGTATAACAAACACAAAAACACCAACCATACCTAAACTAAACCTAATAAAATAAAAAAACCAAATCACCAACCAACCAACCAACCCACGCCACCCAACCCAAGTTTTTGATCAACTTACTTCATCTCAGACCCAGACTCAGCTTGCTTCTCTTCTCTCTCTGCCTCTCTTCTCTTACTCTCCCTCTTGTCCTCCTTCTTCTGCTGCCTTTTCTCTTCTTCCTTTCTTCTTTCATTCCAAGCAGAAATCTCTTTCCCCTCCATAATCTCCTCTTCTCTCCGCACCAATATATCTGACAACCTCTGAAGAACTGGCAACCCCGGAGGAGGATAAAATCTCTAATTACCCATGTTACTAAAAAATCCTCCAAAGACACCACCTCCTCCACCTGGAGTCATTGGTCCCATCCCACCAACAACACCATTTCTCTGCTGCTGTTGCTGTTGCTGCTGAGATTGAGATTGTTGTTGCTGTTGTGTAGGCACAGGAGTCCCGCTATTACCAGCCAACCCAACACTATTAGTATTCGGCGTACTCGGTGCGTTACCTCCATTCTGGTTATTCTCCCCGTTATTGCCATTGTTGGCATTACTACTACTGCTGCCAGTGACCCCATTATTATTCGCAGCGGTATTCCCCGTCGAATTGTTATTTCCATTATTATTCGTCGTGGTCGTCGGCTGAGGAGGCCCAACAGTAATAGAATTCACCACCGAAAAGTCCGGAATCCCCAATCCCCAAACTTTACCCAAATGATCATTCGCAATCTCCCCGTTAAAAATCCGCCTTCTCAGCTCAAAGAAAACCCTTCCAGTCAACAAGCTGTCCGAACCGGCCTGATGCGCGCTCCCAACACGCTTAATCTTGAGAGTCTCCGCAATGTGCTCCAAACCCGATTTCTGCTCAAACTTTTGCAAGATATCCGCAATGTTTGGATCGTTTGTCGACGTCGCCAGCATCCCGCTGTTGTGAAGCTTGATGGCGTGCTTCATGAGGTGCTTTACATCGTAAGTCGAGGGGAAGTAGAGCTTCATCATCTTGTCAAAATCAAACTCGTCACTAGGGAGCTGAGTGCACACGAGAAGCTTGGTGAGGTATCCAAAGTCGTAACCGCCGTGAAAGCTTATCCAGCGCACATCTTCGAAGCATACGAGACCAGAGGGAATCAGCAACGAGGCGAATTCACGAGGATCGATACCATCCCGCTCCAGCAGGTCAAAGTCGATACCCGCCTGCTGAAGAGATGCAATAGAGGTTTGGTTGTACATGTCCTCCTTGAGGGAAAAGTTAAAGTTGAACTGCCATGCATAAGGAGCAGGTGCCTGGTTATTGCTGCCGTTATTTCCACCTGTCCTTCGGAGATCGGTCGAATCAGTCGAGAGCGGTCGCGCGGGTGGCTGTTCGCCATCTTCGTTGAATAGAGCAAGGCCGATTTGTATCACTTTCAGCATGTCGACGTTGGTTCGAAGACATTGGTAATGGTAGTCACTTTTACCCCTAAACCCGCCCATCGGTCTTGACACAACTCCCGGAAATTCAGTATCCTAGAGCAAAAAAGTTAGCCTTGCCTGCTCTTCGTGCAAAGAAGGAATGAATGTGCCCCACCATAGCAATATATGGATACTTGTCAATCAAGTCCCGCAAGTTTGCCATCTCCTCGTGCAGATTGTACTTGTAAACCTCTCTTATCCTGCCCTGTTTTGGTGCAGTCCTTGTCGCGTGCTCCAAAACGTGGCTTTGCTGTTGTGCATGTTGAGCGTGCTGTGCAGCCGCCTGTGAATGTTGTGCGTGTTGTTGCGCTGCCACCGCTGCTGCCGCCGCCTGATGTTGGAGTGTCTGCTGCTGCATCTGCGGTTGCTGAGACTGCTGCTGTTGTTGCTGCATCCCTCCGTGAGCGAACCCCATTCGGGCGGCATGGCTCGCAAGACCAGAGTCGGTATTGAAACCCCCACCTACGCCAGCATTCAACCCTTGGGGCCCAAGACCTAATAGGTTATTGTTCCCCGAAAAGGGATTGTTGACCTGGGGGTTTACTTGGTTGAGGTATGAATTGCCACCCAATTGAGGTGGATGACTTGACGTGTGCTGGCCATGGGAAGGAAACTGGTGATAAGGGGGGAGGTTGTTTGGCCCGCTGGGGAATCGGGCGAGTGGCGGAGGCATCTCGTCGTTGTGACCGTCTTTACCAGTAGTGTTGTCGCCAGCTAGCTCCGGGAGCCTTTGTAGTGGTAACCTAGTACACCAAAAGTGATATTATAAGGTGATTCGGCGGTGAGGGAGAAAAATGGCTTGTCGTTTTCTTCGTTTCGTTTCGTCTCCGTCGTGGTCGTCGTTGTCGAGGTTTCGGGTTTTTAAAACTGCATCAGGAGTAAACCTGTGTTGGGGTGTGGTGGGTAAATTGTAATGCGGGCGGCGGCGCTGGTTGGTTTGGGTTTGGGTTTCCTCAAAAGTCCCGTCCGTGGTTTTGTTGTTTCGATTAATTGGATAGGGTACCCGATTGTTTTGGTTTTTAAATATCCACCGGGCGATTTCACCCAACTGTCCGCTTTTTTTCGAAACAAGAGGAAATGGGGAAAGGAAAGGTTCGTTGTGAACGGTTTTTGGGAAAGGAACGGAGGTGCACCGTGGTGGTTGCGCTTGCACCACGCCAACACAACGCCGCATTCGCATGGACTTTCTCTTTTCCCCCTCTAATAACCCTGGCAACCCTGAACCTGACTAAGCTTTCTTGGCACACTTGATGAACCACCCACTTGCCTGCAGCTGCGGGAGCACCTCCATCATCATCACCAAGAGGCAAGCTTGTTGAGAGGAGCTCCATCTACCTACTCCGGGTAACAACACCACCACCACTCAACAACGATGCAGCCCACCAGGTACCTTTTTCTCACCTACCAATCAATTCTCCCCCAAACTAATCATTTCTTTCTTCCAGAATACTACGAGCCTTTGGCTCCTCCGAAAAGCCCAACATCACAGGCTTCGACATGCGCAAGTTCCTCAAAGCGACCGCAACCCCTCGTTACGATCCCTGGGAGAGAAAGTCCGTTATAAACCCCCTTCCCCCCTAACCCAATATACCCTGTTGCCGACTCTCCAACCTGGTTCTTTGCGAGCGAACGAAAACTAACACTCCTTCAGTGAGGCATGGCGCTACACAGGCCGCTTCAGCAGGTTCAACCGATTCAGAAACTCCCTCCCCGGCTTCGGTATCGCTTCGGTCGCCTTTGCCGGTTACTGTCTGTATGAACACTTTTTTATGAAGGAGGAGCACGATCATCACGGTGTGGCTGCTCATTAAGTCAAGTCAACTGGTGTGGGTGGTGTGGTATAGTGTGTGTACATAAGAGAAGGGTCAATCAGGGAAACCCATAAGAAGAGCAGTAGTGCGTTTAGAGAAT